ATCCATTTCCTGCGGAGATAGTGTGAGATCATGTGTATGAGGCTCACCCAGCTGGTAGCTTCCTGTCTGTTGTCATTGTAGAGGAAAATAGAAGTCTGGACTGATGCATTGCAGACCCTAAAGTACTGCCCACACACAGAGTTTTGTGAGAAGTCTGGACTGGAACACACTTTGTGCCTTTTTACTTCCCTCCTGTGCTTAAACTGTCATCAGACTTGGAGTGACCTGCCTCCCCCCCACCACCACAGTCCCAGTTCCTCCAAACTGTCATGCCCTCCAGGGTCCAGCCTCGAAGTTGTCCCACTCACTCCCTTGACATCATCATATCCCGTCATCAGATGCTGCCTTGAACAGTCACATGGCTCATGTCTTGACATCCCATAAACCGCAAAGGCTTCTAGGCAGGGGTGAGCCAAGCCCTTTTTCTGCCTTTGCTTATCGCAAAAGTCCATTGCTTTTCCATAGAGAAAATGTGTTTCACACAGATTTTTAAAGACTGTGCAAATTCGTGTCTGTTGTTCTCATAAAGAAGAGTTACAGGTTGACCAAAATGACCAGAATTAGACTTTATAACATGGATTATGAAACAATTGGATTAGAGTTAATAGAAAGAGGACTTTCTCAGGTTGGTTCTTTTCCAAGTGCCTTGAATTTTCATTAATTTTGTGTTTCCTCTGAAAGCGTTGGTTCATTGAAAAATCTAACAAGTTTGTAATGATTCTACTGCAAGGAAAAGCTGCAACTTGAAAATATAGTTACTATGAATTATACTATTAATAGGACATTTCTGGAAAGCATTAGTCTCCATTAAGAACTTTTTTTTTTAATGTTGCTTCAAGTGAAAATGTTTAGGTGATTCTGGATTGGACATATGACAATGTCACTGTTAGACCAAAAACCGTTGTTAAGACCAAGAAATCCTCACAGACAATATGGATTCGGGTGGGATGATTGGATGGAATATGAGCAAAGCTGCCACAGCTCTGGTTTTATGTAAGTTTCAAACAGCACATGGGTCCACCAAGGCCTTTAAGGTGAAGTGATCGCAAGTTCCATTTCCAGGTTTTGCTACAAATTGTGAGACTTTAGGCAGGTTACTCGCCTTCCCTGTGCTTTAGTTTTATAGTGTGGGGTCTGACTGTCACTCTGCCACTTACCAGCCGTATATCTTGGACAAGTTATTTCATTTCTCTGTGACTATTTCCTTATCTTACAAATAGATTATTCTAATGTCCACTGCATAATCTTGTTTTATTTAAGGAGATCATACCTGGGAAGCACTTGGAACAGCTCAGGTAAGAACACACATATTTCATAATGAGAAGCCGTGGATGTTACTAACACTAACATACGATTACTTGTATTTCCTTGCAGGGTTGTCGAGAAGGTTAAACGAAAGAATGTGCACCAGGTCAGGCTACCTAATTTGCGGAGCCCAGTACAAAATGAAAATGCAGGACGCTTTGCTCAAAAACGACTAAGAATTTCAAGACTGGGACAGCGGAGTGTTAAACCAAGCGCAGCACCCGGGCCTGTGGTTGCACAGCTACGAAGGCAGCCCTGGAGCTCACAGGCGCCATCTGCACACAGTGGGTGCTAAATAAATGCTCCATTCACTCCTACACCTCGCGCACACCAGCACCGTTAACACCGCCCACGCACTGTCACTTGTCCCTCACCTAAGGACGAGGCCTGGAATTGC